AAAATAGGAATTGCTATGTTTCCATTACCTTAGAATGAGCTGTTTCTATTTACAGTCACCTTCAATGAAGGCCAGCATGTTTCTACAGTAGCCCAGACAGGGGGTTTTGCTTATTCAATAGCATTTATAACATTGTTATAGCAGATAAGGATTCAGTACTCAAGCACTCATTATTATTATTATTACATAATCCTTTTCATTAATAATTATATGTGGCATAGCAAACCAGCAGCAAATATATCCTCTGAACGACAGGAGTGAAACATTTAGTCAATAAAATGCTGTCAGTTTAGACTCATCCTGTTAATACTTTGTCAGGCACCTGACAATAGTAGCAGTCCTTCTCTCTTCTCCTTCTCTTTCCCTTCAGACACTAATCTTCTCGACTGCAGTTGTAATGGTATGATTGCATTAGCACTGGGCTCTTCTGTTTACCTTTGGAATTCAGAAACTCGTGCTCTGGTGGGATCTTTGGACCCAGGACGACCATCAGACCGTCAGTCCATCTCGTGTCTGTGTTGGAGCAGAGATGGCAGATCTCTCTGCATTGGGACCAGGCGAGGGGAGATACAGGTAAATGATTGGGAGCCTAAAGTAAGGAGGGTGGAAACTGATACATATAAAGGGTGGTACAGGGGGCCTGTAAAAGTGGAAGTGTAACCTAACCTAGTTGAATCAGCAGGGCGACAGTTTGTAGTGATTCTCTCTCTTTGACTCTTCAGTTGTGGGATGTTGAACACCAGCAGAGTGTGAGATGTCTGCTATCACACCTGTCTGTGGTCAGAGCTCTTTCCTGGAAACAGCAGTTACTCAGCAGGTATGTGTCAGTATACTAAAAATGACCCAAGATGAAGGTAGGAAAAACATTTCTTATGCTTTTATTTCTGACTCAACTATCCCTGGATCATTTACAAGAGCCCATTTCAAGGTTCTTGTTATCACTTATAAAGCTCTGAATGGGTATTATAATCTAGTATAATCTGTATTTATGTAAGTTGCTTTATTTCTTCTGTTAAGCACTTTGTGGTGTTCTTCTCTTGAAAGATCCCATATGAGTAAAGCTACTTCCTTTCTTACTTACTTCTTAACTCTATTAACTTAATTAAATAAGAAATGACACAGAAAACCAATTGGTTTTGCATCCAAATCTATACTGGTTTAATGCTTTTAACAAAAGAATATGTAGCTGCTATAAAAATGGTTAGTATCTATATGAGGTGTGCAGCATTTATTCAGGGGAATGACAGTTTCCACAATCTTACAGCGGCTCTGTTCTTGGACGTATCCATCACATTGACCCTCGGGCTCCAACACCTCTGGTAGGCGCAGCCATCCAGAAGGACGGGATCTGCAGCCTTCAGTGGTCACCAGGAGGCGACTGGCTGGCCAGTGGCTCCACAGAAGGCCTTCTGTGTATCTGGGATGGTGACGTCACAGGGCTCACAAGGTTACATCAGCCAATCACTACAATGAAACAACCCAGCACTGTTAAGGTCAGTGTATGCTTCCTAATTTTAATTTAATATTCAGCAGGTAATGTTTGCTTAATTTAGCATGTTTGCATGGTGACATTTGCAGGTATTTGGGCATGAGACAAATTGAAGGGTGGGGCTTGATGAGAAGTCAGGGGATTACAATTTATCCTGAACGGAATATGAATGTCTATACCAAATTTCATTGCAAATTCATCCAATATTTCAATAGCAGACGGACCAACCGGTCCACATTGCCATCCGTACAGCCCCACCACTAAAAACACAAGCTGGTGGTTGGTACTGTATTGTCTTACTTGCTTCTAAAAGAACACCTGCATTACTCACAGGATCGACACAGCTACAATCTTATATTGAATATTTTCTGACTTGTTGATGACTAATCGTGGCTTGTGTGAACTGAAGTAGTTTGTTTGTGGTTGTTATGTTTGAGTGTTTAGCTATTAATATACAGGAGTTAAAAATACTGTTAGTTGATCCTGCAGCTATTCATTGGGCGTTCCGCTTAAACAACCAGACAGTCTGCTGACCATTGTGTGTAAGCTGGTGTATTGATTGAGTTTGTGCATTTAGGCAATGGGATGGTGTCCATGGCAGAGAAAGATGATCGCTACCGGAGGGGGATGGAAAGATGGTGAGCTGAGAATCTGGGACACAGATTCAGGGACTTGTGTGACTTCTGCCAACACAAATTCACAGGTGCTTAAGATTCACATTATAGCAGAGGTGTTTTCATAGTGTACAAATATCAGATAGATTATTGCTAATGACTCCAATTGCAGATCTGTTCTCTACAATGGGCTGAAAAGAAGAGATATCTGGTTACAGGTCACGGCCTTCCTCAACACCACATCACCTGCTGGAGCGGGGAGTTTCCTTCCCTCAGTCCGACCTACCAGTTCACAGGTTAGAAATACAACTACAGCCCTCAGCAATGATGTAATGGTAATATAGCAGCATCAGTGTGACAGTTGGACCACTGCTGCAGCTTTGTCATCTATCACTCACATATTTAATAGTCATTTTGTGCTGATTCATTCATGTCCCGGGCTTCCAGTAAATGTGAAACTATGAATTAAACACATCAAAATTCACTGCGTTTGATATGAGACATCACAATTTCCTTAGGTATTGTGACTTGTCAGGGGCAAATCCAAAAGATAATTCAAAATACATTTATGACTTTCTAAATGTTCAGCAATTGTGTTTTTCATTTACTCTGGTGGTGATTTTTTGGCTGTTTCCTGTTTGAGAAGGGGGGCTCTTTTGCGCTAACCAGTACGGAGTGAGGGGCGTATGCGGTCACTACGAGAACGTTTTTCACATCAGAAGAAAAATGGCGCTAGAATCTTTCAGACTTTTTTGCATTGCATTAAAAATTGCATGTTACGTTTTCGATGTGATGTCATTGGGACGTGCAAGTGAAACCAAACCCATTAAAGATGACAACATATGAATTCTTTGTCAGAGTTAGTACTTCTTTGTTACTCCGTTATAGTGGTGAAAGTAAACATTTAGACAGCTTTGTTTTATATAGGAAAGAAGCTGTTTAAATGTCAAAGTTCAACCTTGTTGTTGTTTTTTCAGGTCATTCTCAGCGAGTCCTGCATGTGGCCTTAAACTCTGACAGTACTCAGATCTTCTCTGCTGGAGCGGACCAGCGCTTTCACATCTGGGACATATAATTATCAACACCACCAAACATGGAAGGTGAATGTTGTTGATATCTGGCCAGACCTGTGTGAATGTTCACATACAAGTAGCTCAACTTCTTGGTAATGCCAATTTATAGAGGATGCCCATTTTCTGAACTAACTAACCACTAGCCCAATGATTGATTGAGAGAATCGTAATTAGAATCTACCTGCAATGAGAGGTACGCAAACCAGAGGTACCCATACACCTCTAGTAACCTATTATCAGATTCAAATTCCACAAAGTCACGAAGTACAGTCAAAGTAATAGGATCGAGACTGCTAGCTCTAAAAGTAGACTTCAGGGTGGAGCTACATATCAGCATTTTTAGCAGCTTATAAAAGCTCAACACCTTCCTCCTGGGCTCCAGTTACGTTGTTCAACGTGTTCAGACACATACTACACAATCACTTGTCTTCTGTTCACCACAATAATCATAAAGTAAAGATTCATTTTTTCAAAGGTGGTAGTGATACC